CAGGAAGCTCCTTAGAATGTTGTACGTCCCACATACTCGCCTGCCCCGTCTCAGAAGCCTAGGGCCCACACCCTGCTTGCTTGCTATCTGACTGTACATTGCCTGGGCCAGCATCTGTGCTCCTGACTTAGGGCTATCATGTGCATGGGCAAAGGCAAAGGTGGCCTCCTGCCACCGGGAGAAGGCTTGGAGGACACAACACTTCATGAGCTGTGTGCATTGGATGGAGCATAGACGTCCCTGTGCTGGCTGGCACCTGTTCTATTTCTTTTTCTGCTTTTACATATGTATATGTATGCTGTGCACACATGCTCACATGTGTGTGTGTGCGTGTATGTGTGTGTGTGTGTATGTGTGTGTGCGCGCACGCAGGTGTATGTCCACATGTGTGCCCGATTGTCCAGAGGCTGAGGTTAGCATGGGGAATCTCCTTCAAATGCTTTCCATCTCATGCACTGAGACAAGGCTGAACAAGGAGCTTCTCAGCTCAGACTGCCGCCTTTTGAGCCAGCTTGCCCTGGAGCCTCGCCTCTACTTCTGAGACAGACTGGTCACTGTGCCCGCCAACATTAGGCATTCCCATCCTCAGGGCTGCTCAACAAGCACTTTGCCCACTGAGCCATCTCCTCAAGTCCCCACATGGAGCTCCTCACTCTCCCAATCCTTCACAGGTAATGCTCCTCAATCTACTGTGAACAACCTTTGCCTAAGTCATATTGAGACCGCTATCCCCAAACAAGCCGCAAAGCTACAGAGGGGTCCTCTGGCCCTCCCGTGTCACACGGCCACCTTAGCTGCTGGCCAGGAAGAGGCACTGCAGAAGTGCTGTGATCACAAACCCCCCAGGGGATCAACTGCAGGAGCAAACAGCAGAAGGGTGGAGGGCAGGGCAGGTGGTGGCACAGGAATGGAAACCAAAGAGGGGCAGCCGTGCCTGAGGAGACCATCAAGGTGGCAGTACTGGAGACCCCCACAGTGGTGGCCCCGCCAATCTGCTGCTGCCAACTCCAAACCAGCCAACTCTGGAAACAAAAGCCAGAAATCAATATTCCATCTGCAGCCCCTTGTCTTCTCAGTCCGTGTTCACAATGGCCTCTTGTCTTCAGTGGCACCAGCTGCCATCCTTCCTGTTCTCATTATCATCTCAGCCTTGTCACAGAATCAACAGCCACAACACTCCTGCGACCTGGACTGTCTGCATCCACGGCACACTAACGGCCAGTCTGTCTCCTCCCCACCTTACAGCTGATGGGGAAGGAAGGGGGTATATTACCCAACGGCCTATGCACCAGCTCAGGTAGACATTGCCTTGGGCCCCACACAGCATCTTCCTCACCTCCCAGAGTCAATGCTGTGTCCAGCCTGTAGGCTGGTTGGCTGTGTAGTCTACACATGAAAAGTCCATGTCCAAGAATATATCTCTGTGAGCCCCCTTGAATGAAAGGTGGCATTCTCTCGTGTGTGATCATGATGGCCACCCATGATGCCCCCAGCCTGAGGCAAGAAGCAGGCAGTTTTCCATCTCCCATCATCACTGTGCCCCACCCTCGCTGGCCTTCCTTCCTCCTGCTGCAGCACCTTCCTGTCAGGTGAGGGAGGCTGTTGGTCCTTTCCCCTCAGGCCATCTGAAAACAGAGAAATCTAGCCTGCAGTTCACCCCTGAGGTGAAATAGAAACACCCCTTCCATGTCTGGGCTCTGGCTACCTCTGTGAGGGAAGAGAGAATCCCTAGAGTAGCCTGAGGATTAAATGGGGTAACAGTGGCCACACCCTCTCATGGTGCCTGGTAAAGGGTAGCAGGTGCCACTGGCTCTGTCATCTCAGAGAAGAGTTAGTGAGACAACCTCACTGCCTCAGCCTCCTCAAGGCATGACAGCCAGTGTCACTTTCCTGGGTGGCACTATCAGGACTGAGTCTCATAAACCAGGAGCTGAGACCAGGCCCAAAATCAGTGGGGGAGGGGAACAGGGGGCATTAGGGTCAGTAGTGAGACCAGGCCCAACTGTATGGGCTTCAGAAGCTCTCAAGTGAGATGGAGAAGCTGGACCCCAAGCTGTGCCCACTCAGGCAATCCCAAGCAGGTCAGCATGGGGACTGTACATCAGCAGACTCATGGCTAATTTAGAGGAGACAAGTGTCTCCACTTCAGCTCTTGATGACATGTACTGTGCTGTGCCTCTTTGCAGGGGAGTGAGCCGCTCTTCATTTTCCTGACCTGGGAAACTCCTGCAGGGAGCAAGCAAGCAAGCTTGAAGGACACAGTGAAGACAACCTAGAAGGGCAGGGCCAGCCCTCCCTCCCAGCCAGCCACACACACATGGACACATCAGCCCACCTGCGTTTATGCCCTCTTCCTTCCAGGCTCTTTTAAAATAACCACATCCTTTCTACACTCCTGAACCAGAGACTGACCCTGTGATGGAACCGCTACTCCATTTAGTCTGTGCATGCGCTGGAATATGCACATACGCGGGCAGTCTGTCCCTGTAGAACAATGAACCTGCCTGTGTGAGGACAGAACTGTGCAGACAGCAGCTGGGCTCGTGGAATGACTGCTGGTTGGCCCTTGGATTCCACCAGCCCTTTCACAGGCCTAACCTGTTTAAAATAACATACATGTCTGCCTCCCATCTCTGTGTTTACCACGTGTGTACCAAAAGGAAATGACCAGTTATATATGGCTTTTGAAAACTGTTTTCAGATCAGCATGGCAGAGCCTGTGAATCGGAGTTTACCAGAGAGCAAGCCTTGACAATTCATTCACAGGGGACTGGGGGGCACACCTCACCATCGAGGTAGGGAATTTCATCCTTCACAGGCAAACTTTTCCTTCCGAAGGGTCAGTGTGAGCATCTGGCAACTGGACACAAGCCACCAATGCCAGGCACTGCGTGGAGGTGCTGAGCTGCCAGGAGGGCAATGTACTGGGCTGGGTGGTGGCCCCTCAGAAGTATGCCCACCTGAAATCTAAACATGACCTTACTTATAAAAAGTGTCTTTGCTGATGCCATGTTAAAATCTAGGGACTGGATGATACTTTGTGTGCAATGAGTGATCGCCCTTATGAGACGTCAGGAAGGCCATGTGGGAGAAGGTGATGCTGATGGGAGCTATGCAACTGTGAAAATGTGAAAATTGAGGACACCTGCAGCTGTGACAGAGGGAGGAGGGCCTGGCCTCCAATGCAGTGTGAGTCAGTGTGAAAGGCACCAGGTTCATGCTGTTAAGGTAACCCCAGGATATTCCAGGCAAGGAGCAAGAACCCCCAGACCCCACTATAATCTTCAGCTATCCTTTTGACCTCAGATGAGAACTCACAAGAAAATTCCCTCAAATCTATCACAATTGTTCATCTGCACTGTCTCCCCAGCAATGTGTTTCTTGGGATGATAACTTCATGAACCGATGGTAAAATGACTTGTAGATGACAAAATCTACAAGTAAAAATGAAGTACATCTTCAAAGGCTAATGCCTAGATTGCACCGTGTCACATGTGCCTGACCTCATGTTTGCACAGGTCACCTCTTACTATGGCCGTCACACACTGTATGTAACACAGACAGAAATCTATTCCCCACAGCTTTGGAGGTTGGCAAACTGAGATATTATTGGGGCTACACTTCTTCCCTCCGTCAAAGCTTCTAGGGGGGGTTCATGCTTCCTTAGCTTGTGCCTGCTTCTTCAAACCCAGAAGAACGGCATCTACAGCCATCGCTGTCCTCTCGTTAATCTCAGCTTTGTACCTCTCCCTCTTGTACAGACCACTGTGGCTGCACTGGGCACCTCTGGAAACCTAAGCAGGTCCTTATAGCTACCTCTCACCCTCTGCCAGCTAACGGAATGAGGACACGGCCATTGTTAGGGTCCCTATGACAGACACCAGGGCACAGTTAGATACACTATTAGATAATATAATCCCGGTGTCATACAGGAAGCCTATAGACAGAGAATGGGGAACTAGTTAGAGAAGGGAGCTGACAATGAAGACACTGCTCAGCATTTTGGGACTTGGCTAGGCACTGTTACTGTGACAGGCCAGCAGCCTATAGTCTGAGGTGAGCTAACACAAGTGGTCTTTACACTGGAGACTGGTGTGAGTACAGATGAGCCCAGCAGTAGTGAGTAGAGACTTGTGTGCGAGCCTGAGGAATAGTCCTGTGGAGGGAAGAGGGACATTAGCTGACACATTGTTAGGATGCACACAGGACGTGTGGATTACAGTGTAAATCAGAACCTTGGACCGATGGAACCATGAGAAAGAGGAACCTACCCAGGCACAGGTGGTGAGTGACAGGGGATCTAGGGAAGCCAGCACTGGGGGCTCCTACATCATAGCCTGGAGGAGCACATGCTAATGACATGGCACACCCTGACCATCTGTGTCGATGCCCATGCACTTCCCCACTACTTCACCCCTTCACCCCAATTAAACCATAATTTAAACTACTGCTGATGGGCATTCGAGTTACTGCTCTTTTTCTTTCCGTATTGTGAACACAAGCATGTCTGTGCCTTCCTTCTGCAAGTCAGACCTGGCCTTCACAGTGAAGCATACCTCCACTTCTGTGGTTCTTCATTACAGATCCCTCCCCCTAAGCTGGCCCAATATCACAAGGGGGTGGGAGGAGCTAGTTAAACAGCAAGCTGGCAGCTACCTTAAAAATACAGCCAGATGCACCACCTGACCCCTACCATCCCCCCAGCTGTCCACAGATCCACTGAAGGGAAGCAGAAGCTGCAGCCAGCACACTCCCCCTGGTATGTCCACACCCTATAGCACTTTCCAGTACTATGAGAAGTCTGTGTTCTTTAGCACACGCCTGTGAGGAAGAGGCTGTGGTGCACTGGGCTGGATTTAGCGTTTCCTAGTTAGGTGCCTGAAGAAAACATTGTTTTATGAATAGACATTCATAACACGTGAGGGAATTAACAATTGACTATTCACAAGACATGCTGTTCTACCTTGTAAAAGTGCTACAGAAATAATTACATGGAATGAGCCATGTAAAACTTAAGACTTTATTATGTCTAGTTGAGACTCATGAAAACAGTTGCATTCTTATGCACCATGTCTGAAAATGTAAAATATAAAACCTAGTTCTGTAACAGAACTAACCTGTAACAGAACAGTACATAAAAAGAAAATATCAAGTAGAATCCCAATCTCACGTCACATTTCAGCAAGGCTGTCTTCCTGCCCACTTTCCCTAGAGAAAGAAGGGACCACCCAAGGGTCTGCGAGCTGCTGGGGCACAGCTCTACTCCTCTAGTCCCAGAGTCCCACAAGATCAAACAATGGGAGCAGGAGGTAGGGGCGAGGCCAGTCCCCATGGCTGGAAGGCAGCATTGGCAGGCACAGCGTCTCACTGGATCAGTCCGAGTAGTTAAAGGGATGTGGAGGTCTTCACACACTTAGGAAGGGGGGTGATCTTCCCCCCGGATGCTCCGATACTTGGCCATATCTTCTGGAAACACTTTAGAAAGTTCCTGAATCAGCAGGCTTTTAAATTTCTACAAACAAAAATAGCTGTGTCAAGAAAAATCCAGGTTATAGGCAGCACGACCCCTCCAAGGAGCCCACAATTCCAACTGGGCCACCCAGAGGGACAGAGCCAATCACAAGACTGTCTACAGATAAGATGTCACAGGAACACCAGCTCTCTGAAAAGGGACTATACCTTTAAGACAACTCCTTGGCTCCAGCCAGGGGCTCCCCCACAGTGGAGACGACTTCTGCAGGCACAGCAGTCGGCACTCACACCACAATTGTTAAGTAACACTCACAGCAGTTACTCACGGGAATCACATCGAGGTCACATGAGCAAACACCTCCTGAAGCTTTCCCAAGTACAGGACATGCACCATCAACTGCAAACACCATGGTTTTCCAGCCACTGGTCCCCTAACATCTGTCTATCCCAGTCTTCCAGTCTTAGAAGCTGTCCAGTGTGCCTGTACCCCAAGCCTCTACTCCAAAGTCAGGGAGACACATGCTGCTCCACTACAGAAACTGAAAAAAGTTTCCAAAACTGGTACCCACTGGGGACACAAAGGCTGCAAAAGTTTGCCTTGAGACTGTCACAGTTCTCAGGTGAGAGACAACACCAAGTGCCACAGGTACACAAGAAGATTAACCACACGGGCACCCATCAATGGTCAGTGAGCTCTAGCGCAGCCCGAGGCAATGAGCCTAAGATGCTGGTGGGTCCCGAAGCCTCAGCCCCAAGGGTCAGTCACTGTGTTCACAGAGGGGATTTCTTCTAGGCGTCCAGCAAGTCCTCACCCCAAGCTAAAGGATGGGAAAGATGACTGACGGGCTCAAGGCTAAGTGGACCAATCCCACTTCTGTGTCTTATGATCTGACAGAGCCCACCCTCACAGCTAGAGCCTTCTGAACACAGCAGACACACCAGCACATGTGTGCCCAGCTGACATCAGGCAGGTAGTGGGCAGCACATGGCAGACATGTGATGCTGGAACAAAACACAAGTCATGGTGGCTAGCAGGGAGCCCAGACACAAGAGTACACAGTGCTCTCACTGCAGACCACACATAGTACAGCCACCGGAGGCCAGTGAGGTCCAAAGAGAGAGAAGCCAGCACCATCTGAGACACATTCCAGTGACCTAAGTGAGAAAACTGTAGTTCATGCTCAAGACACAGCTCCCTAAACCTCATGGAGACAAAGTGGCCAAGTTCTCTGCTGGGAGTGTCAGGGGAAGTTTCTAGGGGCCTGGAGGTCAGACACTAGAGACAATGTAACCCTCCCAGCATCCTCCACCTGCAGCCTACTGGCACAGAAAAGGCCTCCAGTCAGGGTGGATACAGAACAGGCACACTGATGTTAGATGTCACTCAAGGGAAGCCACACAGGAAGGCCATGCTGAAAGCCCCACTGGCCAGGGGCATCACCAGACAAAACACATGACTGTCAATTTGTTTCCTGGTCTTTCAAAGGACTGTGGCTCAGTGGCATTCAACATAAAACTATTACAGATGCCAGAAATCCTGCTGTGTGGCAGCCATGAACAACCCACAGAGAACAGCAAAGTCCATCGGTCACGCCGGCATGCTCACTAGGTGCGCTCTTGTAGGTGTGCACAGACATGACTGCCTTTGTCGTCTTACCTTCATTGTGTCAATCTTCCCCTTAACTTGCTCATTTTTAGCTAGAGCCCTCTCCAGGCACTCTTTGGTGTAGAGCTGGGGATTTCGACCTTGATCAATATATCTGCAAACAACAACATCTCAGTTTTAACACACAGCTGACTCACCTAACCTCAGTTTTCTGAAACTAGGACAAAAAAAAAAAAAATCCAGTAGACACACCTTCATAGGGCCAGTCTAGGAACCAGGTTCTTTTAAATTCTCAAATTTCTCCAAACAATCACCTGTTTCTAGCAGTTCATGAATCAAGTAATGATCACTATTATGAACCCCAGAAAGCATCACAAGCTGTACCCCTTTACATGTGTCAGCACTCACCAATGACAATGCATTTGCATTAAAAAAAAAAAAAAAAAAAAAGGAAACTGAACACAGACTGCTACCTTTTGGATCCTCTAACAGCCTGTACAATAAACAAGTTAAATGTGGTGCAGGAGCTCAGGCCTGTGACAGACACAATTGAGGTCTGGAGTCCACTCCGGGCCAGCCTGACTGCTCAGGACATGCTTCATGGGGAAGTTAAAGGGAGGAGCAGGGGAGCCGTGGTGAGGAGGCTGCCTTTTTCTGAGACTCAAAAGTTAAATCCAACCTCTGTGGATGCACAGGGCAAACAATGAGCTGAAGTGCTGAGTTTATCTTATCCCTGCTCTGGACAGTCCATGTGGCTAGCAAAGTGTGTGCTAGCAAGGTCAGGGGAGCCTGTATTCCTCCCATAATGTGTTTACAGCCCATCTGTGAATACGCCGAAGGCACCTGCTCCTTGCAGTTTGCAGCTCACTCTCTTCTCAGCCACTGCTGTGACAGGGTCTACAGGACACTCTGGTAGAAAGAGGGCCCACCACAGCCACCCTGACTGAGGTCTCCTTCCTTCTAACAGAGGAGGGGTCACCTTCTAGGCCCAGGTCACCACAGGAAGCTTCACCAACACCAGACCAAGCTATTTTTCCAGATGTCTGTGGGTATACATTTTGGGTTTTTTTTGTTTTTTGGGTTTCTTTTTTTTGGTATTATAGACCACATAAAACTCTTGTTTTTGTTTTCAAGACAGGGCTTCTCTGTGTAGCCCTGGATGTCCTGAAACTCTCTGTAGATCAGGCTGGCCTCAAACTCAGAGAACCACCTGCCTCTGACTCCTAAGTGCTGGGTGCAATGCCACACCCAGGCACTGCTCTTTACTTAGTGAATGCTGAGGTTTTTCTTTGGCCTGAAGCTTTTCTCCACTGAACTTGGAAGCCTGTTGTTTTTTTGGTTTTTCGAGACAGGATTTCTCTGTGTAGCTTTGGAGCCTATCCTGGCACTCACTCTGGAGACCAGGCTGGCCTCGAACTCACAGAGATCCGCCTGCCTCTGCCTCTGAGTAAGGCATGCACCACCAACGCCCGGCTTTGGAAGCCTGTTTTAATGTATTTAACAAGCTTTTAATTTCTCATTTTTCACTCTGTTTTCAACAACAGAGTGACACCTATCCCTTTTTTAAACCCACTAGCCCACTACATTCCACGAAGACAGGCATTCCTGTCTGATTCTCTCACAGGCAGTACCGCAGCACCTGGGCCATGCCTCCCTCAGAACACTGACGTGCACAGCTAACCCAGATTCAGAGCTGACAGAGACCCACAGTGGTACTTACTCAAACACTTCTAGAGGCACCGTGATATCATGCAGCTGCTGCCTGCACTTATCTATGTCCTGTAAGCCCGTAACAATAAAGTTCCTGGGAAAAAGGCAGAGTGGGGTGTGTGATTAGTTCAGATTACACAAGAAGCACAGCCCACACACAGCATCAGTCACTGGGTTTCACAGTGTGGTGGTTAAAATGGCAAGGTCAGGGACACTGGGGCAGATAACCCAGGTGGCAGCTGGGTATAAGACAGCCACACTAACTAGGTAAGAGAAACATGGGGCCCTGAGAGAAACAATAAAGCCAGTCTCAGCAGGCTCAGGTCCAGGAAATGCTCCAGCTTGCATCCCACAAAGCCCTCCCTGAGGAGGAGTGCAAGATACCACTGCTCTCTACACAGTAAACATCTCAGCTTTAGATACATCCTTGCACTCAGACT